CAAAAAAAAAAAAACAAAAAAAAACACAAACGAAGTGAGTTGATTTCAAAAACACACTAGCTGCGGTGATCACCAGAGAAGGCAAAGGCAAGGAAAGGTCCTGGGGTGACTCCACACTGGACAGGCCCGGAGTGGCCACCACCACTCCACGTGGCGCCTACCACCACCCCAGCCATGGCCACGTTGCCACATGCTGATGACTTGGGATGTGGGCCTCCTGAAGCTCTAAGGGAGGAAGGGGGGTGCCCGTGTGTGGCACTTCAGACTGGTTTACGAGCCAGGTGTGCCCCCAGGACAACTGGCCTCACTAGGGGCTAGCACCCGAAGTGCTGGCTGACTCAGCACACCTACAAATGCACAAGGACCTGTTCTGCGGCCAAAATACCAAGGGACGCACTACACACGGAGGTCACCAAACAGATGCGGGCTCAACCCGGTCTTCCCCACAATGACCGCAGGGTGAGGGCACCCACGTGTCTGTCTAGCCCCTTGCTGCCCTCTCAGCCCCCCTCTCTTTAAGGAGCAGCTCTCCCGCATTCACAGGAGGGCGGGCAGGACTGCGTGCAGCCGCTGGGTATCCCAGCCAGCAGCGTGTGGACACTGAGATGGAGCCACGTGCTGGAACGAGGCCGGGGGCGGGGCTGTCCCAAGGCCTGGCTGTCCAGCTCTTCCTGGGGCTCCAAAAGCCCCATCCTTCTTTCAGAAGACTTCCTCACATGAGCAGTAGAGGCAGCTTCTGCTGCTGGCCGCCAAAGCGCCCTGACGAACGAGAGCAAACACCACGGTGTGGCCTTCACCTTCTGACACAGCTCATGACCCAGAACCCACCTGCCCAGCTCCTACGCCATCCCACGCCCCGCTGCCTCCACTCCTTCCCCATAATGTACTTCAGTAATACATGACTACCTTCTTTAAAAAACTAGAGAATTCAGCCAAGTGAGAGCAGCCTGATACAAAAGGCCACCTATCATATGATTCCATTTATATAAAACATCCAGAAAGTACATGAGGACTTACCAGGGGCTGGGACTACAAACTAGGATTAACTAAGAATGGGCATGAGAGACCCTACTGGGAGGACAGAAACATTCTAGAACTGGACTGTGGTGACCACGGCATAATTCATGAATTTACTAAAAATCGCTGGATTATACACTTAAAAGGGGTGAGTTTTATGGTATGCAAATTCTACCTTAAAAGACCTGTTCAAACAACTCAGACACATATATACTGCTGGCACTCACACTATTCACGTGCAGAATGGGCTCGTGCGTGTGTAATACAGGACTCTTTGCCTTATATCAAGACCCTGCGCAGAAATAACCACCATGTAGTTCATGGGCATCTTCTCCAGTTTCTCCTTGAGCTTTATACACACATATGGACACCTGCGGAAATGGCTTTGTGCATCTCTCTTGTCGCGTGCGTGAAATTATACTGCACCTCTGTCTGCAACAGACTCTTCTCCAGACCCAGGAGGGGCTTTCGGTACCGGTGTGTACGGTACACACAGATCCCTTCCACCTGCTGGGGCTGCACGGCATCCCGTTACGGAAACGAACCACGGTGCCCATATGATCATATGGTTCCCGTAACATGAGTGAATAAGCAATCCCTTCGTCACGGACAGACAGGTTATGTCCAAATTTTGCTGTTACAGACAAAGCTCCCATTGCCATCCTTCATGTGATATAAACTGCTAGCCCCAGCCAAGAACCAGAAGGTGGAAGGGACCCTGCCAGACTGCAGTCCCACAGCCCCGACAAGGCACCACCCAAGCCGCTAACTGGAGCCTCTAACTGCTGGCGCTCTGTCCGTCCTCAATCATCCAGTCTAGCCAACACTCAAATCAAACCCCGCTCCCTGGTCCAGCGCACGCCCGACTGAGCACACATACACTCCTGAGGCTTATCAGCCACTCGAGGAATGTGAGCAGACAGGCCTGTGGCGATCGGACGGTGCTCGGGAGAGGGCTGGGACGGGGGCCAGGTTACCTCATCATCCTTCCACTCGGAGAAGTCGATCTTGAAGGAGGGCAGGGAAAACTGCTGGCTCACCCCTCTCTTGTAGTGGACGGTCTCGGACTGCAGGGCAGGGCTCCTGGGGCTGTACCTGAAGGGGCAGGCGAGAGAAAGGCCGCTGAGACTGTGCCCAGAGCAAATGGTCTGCTGTGCCCGGTCCTCAGTCTCAGTCCCCTGCCAGCCCAGGACCTGTGAGGCAGGGGCTGGCAGCCACCGGTCAGTGGGGACTGAGCAGAAATCAGACGTGAGGACCCCCTACTTCACCTGCGAGTCCTCACCCTCCCCCGGCGAGGCAGGGCCCTCGGTCTATTTGCCTCCAGCCCTGCCTGGTAACTCACCTGCTTACAAGTCCTCTGGGGCCCACACCTGCCCCACAACTGCCTTTCCAGATCTGGCTGCGCTTTTCCATTTGGCTTTTGAGGTGTGTTTACTTTAGTGAACAAACATGGGACAAACATGTGCCCGGCATGCCGTGTCCCCACAGCCCACCCTCACGCTCACTCCCTGCCACGGGCTTCTCTGTCCCAGCCACAACCCACTAAGCACTCCCAGAAGAACAGGGCATGTTCACACCCGCGTGCATGGTGTCTGTTCTTGAGTATTCACACGGCGGCCCACCTACACCGGCTCCCTCACTACTGATGGCCCCCAGCGCTGTCCCCTAACCGCCACACGCAGGGGTGCGGGGTTCTGCAAACATTGCCTGTGCTCCACTGTGCGGTCACTAACTCTGATCCGACCAGGCGACCCCCTGGTGAAGACCAGACTCCAGTATCTCGCTATTCCCAACGGTGCTTCCAGGACCCTCTCTACATACATCTTAGCCACGTATACGAGCACGTTCCCAAGGTATGTTCCCAGAAAGGGTACATGCATTTTCAATTCTGACCAACTCGGGCTTCTCCCCATTCAGGAATCCAACACACGGCGCTGACCTGCTTCCTCCACCCGCCCCACAGCAGCCACTCTTGGGGCTTCCCTCAGCCTCTTGGACAAAAGACACTCTGGAGAGCCTGACAGACTGGTGGGGGGTGGGGCTGCTCTTGTATGTACAAAGAGAGGGGGCCCCTCCACCCCCTGGAGGCCACAGGGCCTTTCTTCCCTGTGACATCACAGCCCTGAGCCTGTGATAAAGCCACAGGCTAGGACTCTGCTCCCAAGCAGACCTGGGATTTTCTCTGGGACCTCAGATCTGCCCCCTTTTCTCACTTGTCAAGAAGCAGGGAGGAGACCAGGGAAGGAGCAGGAGGGTCACGCACACTGCAGCTCAAATGGAAACAGAATTTCCAGGCTCGGATAAAGGTGCTTGGGCACAGCCTTCTGGGTCCTAGAGACGGTCTTTGTTCCGTTGACTTCTATGTTCACCCCACTCAACTCCAGCAAACTGAGAAGGGAAGCAGGCTCCCAGCCACTCCCGCCAGGTCTCAGGAAGGGAAGAGAGGGGACAGAGCAGCATTTCTGTCCTCTGTCCCCAGTGGTGGAGCCCCCCGGGGGTTCAGGACAAAAGCTCCAGGGACGGCTAAGCTGTTTGCTCATGCATCCACTATCCTTCTGGGGGCACGTCTTCCAGGTCCAAATATGACACAGACCAAAGCCGAGCTGCGCACCTTGTCCTCTTGTTGCTGCAAGGGAGGGTGCGAGAGAGGGAGCCCCGAGCCCAGTGACCCGACGGACAAAGCGTTCACTCCCTGCAGGGAGTGCTCCCCACAAACCCCAGCTACGGGTTTTCTCCAACAGCAGCACCAAGGTCCTTATACCGACCATGAGGGGGCGGCTCCAGCCACCCCCACCCCCAGCTGAGGAAAGTGAGGTACCAGCAGTCCCAACCCTTGACACCTAAGCTCCAGCACCAGAGCCAGTCTGGCCTTCAGGTGTTTTTCCTCCAACAGGACACAAGCGGGTATGTTTCTGCCCATCTGTCTGAGTCTGTGGTCACGCTGAAGTTACAGATTTCAAACTTTCGGGGCCAGCGAGACCCTTATTGCAAAGAAAACCTCCAAAATCTCAAACGCACAGCACGGACAACAGAAGCACAGCTGCCGGGCCAGCCGCCACCCAGGCCGCAGACACTCACACAGCCGTCCCGTTCAGGAACTCCTCCACCGCCTGGCAGTAGATGGTGATGGCCACGCGGGCGTCGGCATCAAAGGTGAACTCCAGGCTGTAGAGGACGCGCGGCTTCTCGCTGTCCTCGGAGGGGCTGTCGGCACCATCTTTGTACCTGCCGGGGAGCAGAGGGACAGAGGTGGCGGCCTCCACCCAGCACAGCAGGTACGCCCCCCACGGGGCCCCTCAGAGGCGGCTGCCAGACGCGTGGAGGCCCACTCCCTGTTTGGGCAATAAGGCCGGACACTGCAGAGCCCTCCCTCCCTTGTGTCCCGCCCACAGAAAGAGAGGGGTCCTCTGGGTTTAGACACAGCCCCAGACGTCTTCCAGGTTTAACGTGGTTCTCAGCCTGCTGACGTGCGAGGCCGGATCGCTGTTGGTCGTGGGGCCGTCCCGTGCACTGTGGGGTGCTCAGCAGCATCCCTGGTCTCTGCCCCCGCAGGCCAGGGGCACCCAATCCCCCGAGTGAAAGCGTCTGTGGACGCGGACCGACATCCCTGGGGGCACGGCCCGTTTGAAGACTAGAGTCCCATGAGCAGAGCCCTCTGTACTCACACCCTAGGAGCCCCTCTGGACTCGAGACCTGTCCGTGACCTTCTGGCTCCACAGCTGAGGGAGCAGGGACTGGGGCCACTAGCTGCTGCCTCCCCTCGCAGGCATCTGTGACCACAGCATGAGGCAAGGCGAAGGCTCACCTCACCAGTCGGAGAGAGTCTTTCCGGATGTTCACCAGGCTCCTCAGTGTCTTCACCGGCTCATGGGGGGCGGGGGTGACGTAAGGAAACTAGAAGGGAGAAACCCAAAGCCATGCCCGGTGATCCCCAGGATGTGACAGGGATAGAAAACAGGGATAATCGGAGCACAGGCACGACTCTGTACACCCCAGCCCTTGCACTCATTCGTACAGAAGGAAACCACAGGCCCAGCAGCCACCACAAGGGACAAACAACAGGGACCAGAACCCTTAAGGATTCTGGCCACATAGATCCAGCCATGGTCCTCCAATTCCAGGGGGACTCTCAGTAATCATAACCCGGCCCGAGGGACCCTGGGGCTCTGAGGCCATGTTCCCAGAGGCGGGACCTGGTGCCCACTGCTGTCCTGAATAAAGTGGGCCTGCAAGGTAAGGATGATGCTCAGGAGAGACTCTGGAAGGGACTCGCACGCAAACACGCGCACGCGCACGCACACACACAGGAGAGCACTGGAAAATGGGAGATCTCTGGGAAATGTGCTGCAGCGGCATCAGCTCCTGCCCATGACAGTGCAGCACAGCTCTGGAAGATTCTGTCCTTGTGGAAGCTGAGGGAGGGAGGCACAGAGGACTGGAACCCCTTCCCGCCACTGCAGGGGAGTCTACGATGGCCTCAAAAGAAAAGTTTAAACAATAATAGATTTACGGGAGGTCTGTAAGAGCCAGGCCCTGCCTGCGAGCTGAGGCTTCGAAGACGGAAGGTGAGGTTGCTACTCTTGCTCTCACAGACTCAGGAGGGCGGGGGACTCAACACAACCTGGAAGCCCCAGTGGTCCCATGGGTCGGGGAGGGCAGCACTCGAGGCCAAAGCTCCTTGCCTCCCACACACTAAAGGATCAAGATTTCATGTCAACCAGCTGTTCCACTGCTAAAATAGCCTAAAGACCCCTGGGCCAGTGGACATCTCATCCCCTGCCAGGACCAGGGACACCCCAGGACTCAGCAGCCTTGGGAAATGGAGTCCAGCATCTCCTGAAAGAGACGGTCTCCTGCCTGGCTCCTCACCCACACCGAGGCCCACCATTTTAAAGTACAAGACCCAGTCCCCTGGTCAGCACCCCCTCCCCAGAGGCCCTCACTAGTCCCTCTCGGTCTCTTTTGTCTCCATTCATGAATCTTTTCTTCACTGCCTGCACCCCAGGAGGGAAGAGGGTAGGATATGTCCTCCATCCCCAGCCCCTGGAGGAGTCCTAGGCACCCAGCAGGTACCAAATGTGTGCTGGACAAATGGACAGCAGCATGTAAACGTGTGCTTCCCTGATGACTAACGAAAGTGAATTTGTAAAAATGCTCACTGGCCATGTGCATGTCTCTTTTGGGTCACAACTCTCACCCACTGTTCTACAGAGTGTGGCTTCTGTTTTTTCTTTTTTAAAGAAAGTCATCCAAGAGGCCTGGGATCAAATCCATAACTATCCATAAGCCCCATAGCCTGGCTGCATTGGGCTCAGCAGTGGCTACCCTGTCCCCCAGTGAGCTATCTGCAGCCATCCAACCTCTAAGGGGGCAGTTCCAGGACATGACCCCTGCACAGACATACACACATCCAGCCAGTAGCTCTGCCCATGTGAGGTGACTCAGTGCCTGCTTATCCTCAAAGCTAGCTATGGATAGCAGAGGGGAGGACCTCGCTGCCACTGCCCACGTGCCTACCCCACTGTGACCCACCTGGACCGGTCGATTGCCCAGGAAATTCAGATCCATGTTCTCTCCAAAGAGGTAACCTTCAGGGTGAGGGGTGTCGAATTTCTCACCTCCCATGAAAAAGTGAGAGGCAAAGTAGTTTCCTGGTTAGAAAAGGAAACACAATTGTAGATTATAAGGCTCGACACAGCCCAGGGGAAGCCGGTGATGGTTAACAGGCTCAGCACTGAGAACAGCTCCATTTGGAGAGAAGCCTCGCAGGCTGTCCTTACCACTCGGCTCTAGCCCCAGCCTCAGCCCTTCAACCTGGCCCATTCAACGTCTGCACCCCAACACCCTTTGTGCTCCCAGACCTCTCTTCCCTGCTCAGGGGCATATCAGGTCTTCTGGTCCATTAACCTTTCCTTCTGTGGCAGTCGGAGTTGTGTGCTCCTCAAGGATATGTCTCAGTTCCACACCTACACCTGTGCATGTGACCTTAGTTGGAAATAGGGTCTTTATAGATGTAATCAAGAGGAGGTCACACTGAAGCACAAAAGCAGTAAAAATAAGTGTACCTGTAGAACTCAGTCAAGGGACTCACAAAATAAAAGGCTATAAAGTATGACACCATTTACCTAAAACATGGGGAGGAGAGGGCTAAAGAATGGGCTCAAACTTAAATGACCAGCAACTTCATACAGACTGCTATATGCAGAAGAGGTGACATACAAACCGAATGGTAACCACAAATCAAAAACCTGTAAAGACATGAAAAAAATAAAGAGGAAGGAACCCAAGTATATCATAAAGAAAGCCAACTAACCATGAGAGAAAAGTGCAGGAGAGGAATGGAGAAAAACAACCACAAAAACAATCACAGAACAAGTAACAAAAATGGTAATACATACATACTTATCAACAATCACTTTGAATATAAATGGAATGAACACTCCAATCAAAAGTCAAAGGGTGACAGAATGGGTAAGAAAACAAGGCCAATCTGTATGCTGCCTATAAGAGACTCATTTCAGACCTAAAGACACCTGCAAATGGAAAGTGAGGGGATGGATGAGCATTCATCATGCTAATGGTGTGAAAAGTAATCTGGGGCAGCAATACTTACATGAGACAAGATAGACTTTAAAACAAAGAGTGTAACGACAGACAAAGAAGGGCACTATATAACCAGAAAGGGGACAAACTAACAAGAAGTAAATATCTGGCAACCAAATACACAAGTTAATAACAAATATAAAGGAAGTAATGGACAGTAATACAATAATTGTAGAGAACATTAATAACCCACCTACATCAATGGATAGATCATCCAAACAGAAAATCAACAAGGAAACAGTGGCTCTGAATGACACACTGGACCAGATGAATCTCACAGATATATTCAGAACATTCCATCCTAAAACAGCAGAATACACATTCTTTTCAAGTGCACATGGAACATTCTCCAGATTAGATCACATTAGGCCACAAAACAAGTCTCAACAAATTCGGAAAGATCAAAGTCATTCCACACATCTTTTCTGACCACAACACTATGACACTAGAAGTCAACAAGAAAAAATCTGGAAAGACCACAAATACATGGAGGTTAAACAACATGCTACTAAACAATGAATGGGTCAACCAATAAATCAAAGAACCTTAAAAATACATGTAGACAAATGAAAGTGAAAACACAATGGTCCGAAATCTATGCAGCAAAA